GCCTGTATGTGGGTGCATGTGTATGTGGGTACATGTGCGCCTGTATGTGGGTGCGTGTGTTATGTGGGTGCGTGTGTATGTGGGTGCATGTGCGCCTGCCTGTACGTGGGTGTTTGTGGGTGTGTGTATGTGGGTGCATGTGCGCCTGTATGTGGGTGCGCGTGTATGTGGGTGCATGTGCGCCTGTATGTCAGTGCATGTGTGTTGAGTGTGGGTGACTACAGGCCAGAAGTGGACTGGAGCTGGGGTCCCAGGAGACTGTGAGCCACCAGACATCCTCTGGAAGGAGCAACAAGTGCTCTTAAGCCCTGAGCCATCTCTCTCCGTACCTTCAGATGGCTTTTGCATCAAATCATTTGTGAAATTCTGATGGTGTGTCATTAGAACAACCTAGGAACATCACTGTCTTTTCAAAGATCCTCTTAAGACAACAAGGCCCTGGAGACTGACTTCAACAGCCCCTCACCCAAGGCTCACGCTTTCCTGCCCACCTGTCTGCCGAGCCCAGGCCCCGTGCTGACCTCCACAGCATCCGAGTGGATAGCTGGGTCAGCAGGCAGGTGTCCACGTGGACACCTGTCTTTTCTTCTCTTGGATGACCCAGAGCTCAAGCCTGTAAGGACCCAGAGAGTCTTGCTGGGGGTATTTTCAGGGTCCTACCTAAAGCAGGCAAACCCCTGTGCCCTTTGGTCCGTACCTTGCACCCCTCGCAAGCATGGACCCCGTAGTGGAAGCCCGAGGCCTTGTCGCCGCACACCCGACACTCCATGTTGAGGCTGCCGCCAGAGGCCCCGTCACAGCCCATCTGCAGCTGGTCCAGCAGGGAGGAAGGGGAGGAACTCTGGGAGAGGTCTGTGGACACAGGACAGAGAGGCGGTTGAACCATCAGCTGCTAGGCCTGTGAGCCAGGTGGAGGAAGAGCTGCAGTCCAGGCAGCTCAGGCCAGAAGTGGGCTGTGTGACCCGGGGAAAAGCTTCAAGGGCCCAGTCTCTGCTCCAGGAGCACAGAGTCGAGGCCAGCCCTGCTAGGAAGATGGAACAAGTCTGCCTGTACGTGTGACTTATGGCAGGCAGGTGTGCAGCTGCCACTTACAGCATCTCTGACTGGGAAAGGAGGGGGGCCTGGTGGGCTTTGGATAGACAGCATCTTCAGTGGGTCCTGGAAATGGCGGAGAGGACTGTGTCTGTTGGGAACTGTGGGGGTGCAGAGCTCCGCCCAGCTGGACTGCATCCCAGGAGTTCTAGTCCCTGTGGACCCCGGGGGTGATGTCAGGCATCTCTCAGGAGCCTCTAGCCCAGTCCCAGAAGTCCTGCTGGAGAGAGTGCAGCACCAACGTGCACTGTTCTACTGAGTGCACAGAGGCTTGGGCTGAGGCTCCAGCGCTGGCAAGGGCAGTGGGAGGCTGTAGCTGCACGGTCACAGGGATGGACCTGCTGTCACTCAACTGTCAAGATGCCAGTGAGATTTAAGGAGACTGTCTTGGGCCTCAGTCACCTGGCTCCATGGTACCGCCCACCCGTCCATCTCTGTTTGCTGGCCTTACAGTCTGGGCTCTCTCCTGAGACTGCAGACTCACTTCCTCAGAGACAGGCACCAACTCCCCAGACTGATGAGAGACATTCAAGCAGGAGAAAGACCCCAGCCATGTGACCGACCCAGACCAGTACTCCCAGCCTGCACCTCTGGCCATGGCCAGGCAACTCAGGCAGCAGGAGACCATGGGGGTTACAGCCATCCTGGATGTTAAAGTTTGAGTGTGTTACATCAGGTCATAAGTGGCCTAGAACCCTCGTCCACAACGACTGTTATTCCAAAGGTATAAATGCCCTCCAGCCCCAGCCGAGGAGAGTTGACCTCATTTTCTCTGATAGGCTGTTCTGGAAGGTAAAGTAGCTTTGGACTTGTTGGCAGTCTCACCGTCTGACGGAGGTGGGGTGTGTGTGTTCACACGTGGGCACTGTGTACCAGGCGTGAGGGCTGGGAGGGAGGGGCACATTGAAGCTGAAGGCTGAGAAGCCGTGGGTACCAGGCTCGCAGTAAGCTTCACAGCTCCTGGGGGTCTGCATTCTCCACAGTAAGCTCCTGTTGTCCAAGCAGGGCCAGGACGAACCCAGTACAGCCTCTCCTCCCCCCACATCCATGGCTGTCCTGGTGTGCTCTCTGGCTCGGTGTGTGTGTGTGTGTGTGTGTGTGTGTGTGTGCTCGAGTAGACCTTCAGAACCCTGTAATTAGCCAAGATAACCAGATCCTACTAGCTATCCAAGATAGGGCAGGGAAGTTACTACCAGAAAGAAACAGGCTCAGTGGTGAGCGGTGGAATACCTCACCCTGGGTGAGGACTATTCAGCAGAACTCCAGACTGTCTGTTTTTCCTTCCTGCTTTCTCTCTTTTACTTTTTTTTGAGACAAGTGCTCTTGTGGCCCAGGCTAGTTTTGAACCCACTATGTGGCTGAAGACAGCCTTGAACGTATGTGTGCGTGTGTGTGTGTGCTTGCATGTGCCTCTGTGTATGTGTGTGTGTGTCTATCACTCACCACTGTGGTCTTTTTTTCTTTTTCTTCTTGTGTAACAGCCCTGGCTATCCTTGAACTAGATTTGCAGACCAGGCTGGCCTAGACCTCACAGAGATCCGCCTGCCTCTGCTCCTGAGTGCTGGGATTGAAGGTGATTGGCAGCACACCTGGCTTCCATTGTGTTTTTCTGAGTCATGGTTTGCCACCAAACCAGCTCACTGCCTCCTGTCTCCTAAACCCCAGCACTGGGGTTATAAGTCATACAAACGTGTCCAGATTGATTTTTAATTCCAAAGTATTTAATTTTTTTTAAAGATATATTTGAGTGGGTGCTCTCTCTCTGTCTACATGTATCTATGTACCACGTGCATGCAGTGCCCGGGGAGACCAGAAGAGGGCATCAGATCACCTGAGACTGGAGTTGCAGACAGCTGTGAGCCACCATGTAGGTGCTGGGCACCAAATCTAGTTCCTCTAGAGGAGCAGCAAGTGATGTTAAGTGTGGAACCGTCTCTCCAGCCCCCGATTCTACTATTTAAATTGCATTTTAATGTATGTATTTTGTGCGTGCACATGTAAGGGCAGAGGACAACTTTCAGAAGTTTGTTTTTTCCTTCCACTATGTGGGTCCCAGGATCAAACCCAGGCAGCCAAGCTTGGCAGCAAGCACCTTCGCCCTCTGAGCCACCTCACTGGCCCAGGCCTAGTTCTTTATGTGAGTGCTAAGCATCTGAAGGCGGGTCCTCATGTATGCGTGCGCTCATTTCCGATCATGGCCTCCTAAGTGCTGGGACCACACCCAAGGCCTGCAGCATGAGAGGTGAGCACTCTGCCATCCCAACCTCAGCCTCACTCTCACAATACTGTAGCCCAGGCTGGCCTGTAGCCCAGGCTGCCCTATAACTCAGCCTCCTGAGAGCTGGGACTATAGGCATATTGTTACATGCCTGACGTTGATTCCGAATGTTCCCCAAAGGCTCAGACGACCAAAGCTTGTGGCACTAACAAGAGGCGGGACCTGGTGGTTACTGGAAGTGGCCTCTGAGAGGCATGTTGGACTCTGTCTCTTCTTTGTATGACTCACGATAGACCCCAAAGCAGTGGGGTTGGCTGAGCTGGGCTGGAACTGGCAACACTGTCTTCTACGTAAAAGCTTTCTGTTTAAGCTGTCTGTATGGGGTATCCTGACACAGGGATGGGGCTAATACTCCTTTCAGCCTCCCCCCCCCCCCCCCCCCCCCCCCGCGGCTCGCAGGAGGGGGCCTTGCTCATCTGATACACCTGCAGCTGGTCCCAGGATCCCAGCCAGGTGCCCGAGACACCTCCCAAGGATCTATGTTTCCCAGGAGCGACAGGAGAAGAGGCGGCATTTGCCAGGCTCCATCTACTAGCCAAGGGTCTTTAGGGTTGCTTGTGTCTGAGACGGGTCTAATCCGGTAACCTAGACTAGCTGTGAACTCATGGTGCTGCGTGTGCCTCAGCCTCCCAAATGCCACCGTGCCCGGCTCATTTCATTTTGTGCAAGGTCGCCTGGCTGTGCTTAGGACTGGGACCTGCGGCAGAGTAAGCGCTGGCACGCCTGTGCTCCAGACTCTAGTGGGACCTGCACATCTCTTCATTCATGTCAAGCCTTGAGATTACCCTCCGAGTTGGGTGCTGTGCCCCTGCATAACAGGCGAGAAAACTGAGGTTGATGTGGTTAAAGGTAGCGGTGGGGACAGCTTTCCTGATCTGGCTGAGATGTGATAGCCAGGCTTCCGTTCACAGGCTAGTCTGCATGAATTTAGTCCCTGGGACGTAGGAGGCAGAGCTTTGACATAGGTGGAGCTTTGAGTTTGAGGCCAGCCTGATCTACAGAATGAGTTCCACGACAGCCAGGGCTACACAGAGAGACTATCTCAAACAAACAAACAAACAAACAAAAACAAAAAAAGGGAAGATAAAGCCGTGACTGTCATCTCACTGGAGTACAGTACAGAGTGTTTTGCTTCAGAATGTGTGTGGCTCTCTGCCTATGGGTGAAGGCTTTGCAAACATGGCTGGGTCTTCTTTCCTCCTGGAAGAGAGGCCCCACCTCCATTGCAGCCCTACACACACACACACACACACACACACACACACACACACACACACACACATCCCTTATTGATTCTGTCTATCTATGAACCGCTGACTAAGGAGGGGGCAATGTGTACTCTCCTGCAGCCCACAGGCACGCTTTTCCTGTCAACACAGCAGGCTCAGCACTCAGGATGACTGAGGCCAGGCCTCAGACACTTGAACTCCGTGCAACCCTGGCATCCATGTGAGAATCAGTTTTGCCATCGGAGTCCAGCAAACACAGACTACAGACTTAGCCCCATACTCTCTCACGGTGCCGGGCAGAAGGCTTTCCTGAGTATCTTGCCCCAGGGGCTAGAAGCACGCTGTCTGCACAGCCGTGAGGGGCCCACGGGAGGCCTGGTTAGTCATGGTGCCACCAGAACCTCTTAGTTCTCACAGGATAAGCGCTAAGTGCACCTGAGTTGGGGGACTGGCTTCTCCTTTATGTTTTGTTTCTGAGATAGGGTTTCTCTGTGTAGCCCTGGAACTTGCTCTGTAGACCAGGCTGGCCTCAAACTCGGGCGTCGCCTGGTTCTCGTGGGATTAAAGGCGTGTGCCACCACACCCAGCTAACTGGGTGGTTCCTTGATTGTTGTCCCATTTTGCCTGGACTTTGGCCTCCTCTGGGCTGATGTTCAGCCCTGTCCACCACTGCCCGGCCCACTCCGCCGTGGTGCCACCTCGCACTGGCATGGTGTCCAGCCCTGGACACTCACCAAGTGCTGCTGAGGAAAGGAGGCACACGTTGAGAGGTGGAGTGTGAGCACCAGCTCCTGGGGGTTAGTCCCCTGCCAGCGGGGGCCAGGCCATGTGTATCCTTGTTACTATGTGCTAGTGTGAAGCCTACACTGCCTATGTCACGGAGACAGAACGGTGGCCGGCACTGACTCGGAGCATGGACGTTTAGTGTGCGCCCATATGCAGGGGTTGGAGCTGTGCAGCCTTCCTATCGTCTCAGGGTTCCTTCAGGGTCCCCAAAGGGACCCTAGGACAAAAGCCCCAGACACATGGGCATGGGGCAGGGGACTATCAGGTACCAAGAGCTGCAGTGGGCTCAAGTAAGGAGACGAGGGCCTGAGGCGGCGGTGAGGGTCACAGCCTGCAGGGGCCACCTGGGTTCCCTGCTTTGCTGCGGGTGGTCTCTGTGTCCTGACAGGATCTCACTGTGTAGAGCAGGCTGGCCTTGAGCTCAAAGAGCTCTGTCTACTTCTGCCTCCCAAGTGCTGGCATTAAAGAAACGCTCCATCATGCCTGGTCAGTTTGTCCATTTCAACTCTGGGACAAAACAGAGCAAGAGCTTTTTAAGTTATGAAAGTCACACATGGTTGCTGAGAAAGACACACAGGGCAGGCTGTGACTTAGAACCCCAGTCACGCCTCCCCCCCATTCAGGACTCTAAGTCAACTCCTGTAGGCCTGTGGTTCGCACTGTCCAGCGTCTATTATATCTATAAGGGTTTGGAGCTTTTCGTTCAGACAGGCTGGCCTGGAACCTGTGATTCTCCTGCTTCAGCTCCCAAGTGCTCGGGTGACAGGCGTGAGCCACCATGCTTGGCTGTACCTTACTCTTAAAAAAACAAACCAAACTAGACCAACCAACCAAACGAACAAAAAAGCTTTCAGCGTGGTGGTGTGCACCTTTAACCCCAGCACTCCAGAGGCAGAGGCAGAGGCAGGTGGATCTCTGTGAGTTTGAGACCGACCTGGTCTACACAGTGAGTTTCAGGTCAGCCAGGGAGAAGCCTGGTCCCAAAAACCAAAAAACCCAAAACAAAAAAAAAGTCTTTATTATTTACCAGTGTGTGTGATCTGTGTGACAGGGATGTGAGACACGGCACATGTGGAGGTCGAGGGACAACTGTACAACTGGTCCTCTCCGGCACCTTTATGTAAGTTCCACAGAGCACACTCAGGTCTCTGGACATGTGCAGCAAGTCTCTACCCACTGAGCCACTGCACTGGTCTCTACCTTATCTTTTAAAAAATTTTACATTTGTGTGCGTGTGCATGTGTACATGCACATGCGTGCATGTGTGTGCGTGTGTGTATGTGTGTGCACGTGCAAGCATGTGCACACGAGCTCGAGTGAGGAGAGGTCAGACGACAACTTTCAGGAGTTGGATCTTGCCTTCCACCGTGTAGGTTCAGGGACTGAACTCAGGTTCAAGCTTGAGGGTAAGGACCTCTGTCACTGAACCATCCCACTGGCTCTGACTTCAGCCTTTTCAATGACTAGAGAGCGTCCCCTGAGGCTCTGGCAGGGCCTACCTTAGGATTTCCCACAGAGGGTGACACCCCTTTTCTGTTCCTATGAGCCGTGCTGTGGTAAGTAGATCACCTTTGGGCTCACTGACCAAATAGGCACAGGGGACACATTCCCGGAGCAGATCTGCAGGGCGAAAGGGACTCAAACCTGCACCATCCTGCCACCATTGCCACCTAGATGCTCCAGGCCAGGCCAATAGTCTCCCACCGAGCTGATGGACTGACATCCTGCGTAGTCTCTGCTCACTGCGTACACTGGGAGCACTGCTTTCTGGCCAGTTGCTACCTCGTTGGCGCTAACTTCCCTGCCAGGGCTGGTCTCCTAGGCCAGTGGTTTTGACGGCTGTTACCAGTCCAGCCAAGCCACCTCTCATGTAGTCATTTATCGAAAAAGTAGGACCGCCAGGCAGTGGTGGTGCATGCCTTTAATCCCAGCACTTGGGAGGCAGAGACAAGCGGATTTCTGAGTTCGAGGCCAGCCTGGTCTACAGAGTGAGTTCCAGGACAGCCAAAACTACACAGAGAAACCCTGTCTCGAAAAACTAAAAAAAAAAAAAAGAAAAAAGAAAAAAAAGAAAAAGCAGGACCAGACATGGTGTCCTGGGAGTCCCACAGTCTACGCTGCTCCAGATGTTCCCACCACTCCTCCTTCTGTCCTCGCTGACTCTGCCCCAGTTACCGCACTTTGGCCAGCACGTGAACATTACAACCGCAGTAATGGCTTGTGGTGGGAAATCACTTGTGTGAGGTGTGTGTGAACCCAGCATATGATGTGTCCTGCCCAGACCCAGATATGGGGACAAGGTAGTCAGGGCAGGCGGCCAGGCCAGACCTCGTGCCTCTTCCCTCCCTGTTCACTCCTCAGAGCTTCATGGCACCTGGCACACTGCCAGTCCCCGGAGTCCTTCCTTCCCTTCCCCTTCTTCTTTCTCTGTCTCCCTCAGCAAGGTCTCCCTGACCAGGCTGGCCTTGAACTCTCGGGGATCCCCCTGCCTCTGCCTCCTGAGCATTGGGATTAGCAGCACACACCACTGTGCCTCTGGTCCAGCCTGTGGCAGCGCTGAGGGAATTCTGGTTCCCAGAAGCCATCTACTCTACTAAGAATGCTTGGGTCTGCAGGACCGCCACAGCCACTGCCGCTAACACACAGAATCACGGGCCGCTCTGGACTCTCACATCACACCTCGGCCACTGGGAGTCACTCTGAGGATGTGGGCAGATTAGCAGGATTGACACTGGTCCTTCCACCCCGCCCTCTGAGTGGTCCTTCCACCCTGCCCTCTGAGTTCTGACAAGGACAGGCCTTGCCTCCTAGGGTCCAGGCAAAGGCTTATCCTCCCCCACAGCCCTGTCTGAAACCAGCAGCAAGCCACGCCCATCGCTTCTGACTTAGAGGCTCTGAAGGCGGGTCCAGGATCACCAGGACACACTGGCCCAAGACAGCCAGAGGAGGATAGGCTGGAGAGGGAAAGCAAGGAGCCTGAGGGGCCCTGTGTCTAGGCTGGACACGGTGTCACGAGAATGAGATGACAGGGCCATGTTGGTCACCAGAGAAGAATGTCACCATTGCTACCAAGAGAGGGTCAATGAGGTGACCCAGCAAGTGGAAAGAGCCAGCGAATCCTGACACTCAGAACCGGCCCAAGTCACAGGCACTCACTCACAGCACTTGGCATTGCTGCTCAGGCACGGCGGACCACAGGCTTAGCATCAGGTCTCCCCGGGCCAGTGGTCCATGACAACCACAGCACGCCCCACAGTTCCTGGTGTAGCCAGGAGTACGGGCGCACCCCAAGGGTGGTGCCTAGATACACAAGGCTATCATGCACAAAGCTCTAGGTCCAAGCCCTAGCCCCAAACACTGCCTGGGGAGGTGTACGTGTGGCGTCAGAGACATTTGATGGGCAGGGTGTAGGATAAGGGATAAACACCCTCCCACCTCCCAGGAAAGCCCACTTCCGGCTCATCTACATTCCTATGTGATTTCCCATACCACTTGTATGTGACTTCCCAGGGCCCCTCAGCTCACCAGCTGGTGACTGGCAGGACTCCGGGCTCTGGCATCAGTCAGTCACTCTACTTCTTGGCACCCCATGTTGTTCACAGAAACCTGAACCCCCACCCGCCCACCTGCCCGGCTCTGTTCCTCAGCCTCCTCCATACCTGTGCAGCTGCTGGAAGGAAGCGTGTGCTCTGGTCCCCCATTGAGCTCTGGGGCTCCATCAGCCGGGGCCACTTCCTCTTTCTCCTCTTCCCGGGCCTCAGGGGTCTCCTCCTGTGGCTGCTCCATGACTGACCCCCACTTGGCGTGGCGCCTGCAGGCCTGGTCATAGCTCTGCCACCATCTGGGTCTGAGCGCAGATGGACCGCCTGGGCAGGGAGAGACAGAGACGATCAGCAGAGAGGTGGTGGGCACATGCGCCCCGTGGGGCCACTGTCACATGGCAGTACTGCTCTGGTGCTCTCCCCAGTCCCTGCAGAGCTTTCTGGTTTCTTGAGACAGGGCTGTATAAAGCCCAGGATGGACTGAATTGGCCGTGCAGCCAAAGATGTCATCAAACTCCTGTCCCTCCGTCCTCAGTGCTGGAACACTGGTGTGAGCAACCACCCAGGGTTCCTGATACTCAAGGCAGCCCACCCCCCACCCAGCACCATGGCTAAGATGTAGCTGTCCAGAACCACTGTTCTGAGGAGTCGCCTGTCCTGCCTCAGGTAGAAAACAGCTCAGTGCTCCCACGGACTGCAGTGCCAGTGTGTTCTCCCAGGATTGTTCCAGGAGCAGCTCTGCACTGCCTACTTTGATGTCAACTTGACACAGGCTGGAGTCTGAAAGGAGGGTACCTCATATGAGAAAATGCCTCCATGAGATCCAGCTGTAGGGCTTTTTTTTTTTTTTAATGATTGATGGGGGAGGGCCCAGCCCATTGTGGGCGGGGCCATCCCTGGGCTGGTGGTCCTGGGTTCTGTAAGAAAGCAGGCTGAGCAAGTTGCCATGAGAAGCAAGCCAGTCAGCAGCACCCCTCCATGGCCTCTGCATCAGCTCCTGCCTCCAGGTTCCTGCCCTGCTTGAGTTCTTGTCCTGACTTCCTTTGATGAACGGGATATGGAAACAGCTGAACAAACCCTTTCCTCCCCAGGGTGCTTCTGGTCACGTGCTTCATCATCTCAGCAATGATAACCCGATGCCACTTCAACGTTCATCAAATAAAAAACTTGTCCACAAATGCTGCTCTCCCAAGTGCCAACTACAGGGGCTGTGGCGAGAGTTCCCCCAGCAGAGAGCAGCCAGCTTGGGGCTTCAGCTTCTCAGAGCTCGGAGGAAGGCCCTCCCGTTCAGAGCCTGAGCTCCAGGGTGACCTCCTTCTTACGCATGTCCCACAGGTATCAAGGCATCCCATCATGCAAACAGAAACACCCTTTTCCCAGGAAGGTCAGCTTCGTTCAGGACCTGAGTGTCTGTCTATCCATCACCAAGGCCCTGAGGGACCTGGCTCCCCTCAGTGGGATGTGTGTGTGACTTATTTTTTTGTTTGTTTTGTGAAATAAGATCTATGTAGCCCAAGCTGTCCTGAAATTCCCCATGTAGACCGGGCTGGCCTAGAACTTAAAAAGATCCACTTGCTTCTGTCTGCTAAACACGGGGTTAAAGGTGTGCACCCTGGGGTTATATTTCTAACCCCTGTTGCTGTGAAGTACAACCATGCTTAACACCTAGTGCTCTCCAGCAAAGCACCTCTGTGGTTCTTCCTCCTCCTGCTGAGCTCTCGAGTCCTGGACTGCACAGTGGCCTCTCAGAGGCCGTGCTCTGGGCAGCTGAACTTGCAGCCCTGAGGCCTATGTGGCAGAGACCCAGAAGCTGAGAATGTGTAGATCTGGAAGATTCCAGCTAAGTGACAGCCACAGGAAGGGTGTGAGCAGCTCATCACAAGATAAACACACGTATACAGACATACAGACACACCCCTACCTCAAATCAAGAGAGGAGACGAAGTTTTAGGCAGCTGTGAGAACAGCTGAGAAAGTGCTAACACAGAAGCTGGCCCACACTTCTACACCGAGACAAAGCACGAAGGCAGCAGGGATCCCAAGTTCCAGCAGACATGTAACCCAGGGCAGGGGGTGTAGCTCGGTGGGATTGTGCCTCTCCAGTGTAGCCAAGCCTCTGTGGTCTGATCCTCAGCACCCATCAGTCAGGTGTGGTGGTGCACATCTGTAATCCCAGCACTTAGGAGGTGGAGGTGGGGGGTGTGGGGGGATAAGAAGTTCAGGGTTATCTCCTGCTACACAGAAAGTGTGAGGCTAGCCTGGGCTATAGGAAACCCTATCAAAACGACAAAAACCCTCATAAAATACAAGAAACCATGTGTTAACATAAAACTCATCTTACGTGAGACGTAGGCCTGGCAATAAACTCATAAAAGCTTTATAGGTACCAAGATTACAGGTAAAAGATTAACAGATTTAATTATATAAAAGTTCTACATAGTTAAAGGGAATTTAAGGAAAAGCAAATTCAACACAACCCCGGGCTTTGTTTGTAGACCAGGTGCCAGAGAGGGCTTCTCGAGCATTCGGGAAACCCTGGCCTGGTCCCAGGCATTGCGCAGGTTAGGTATGGCAGCCCAGCTTGGGGTCTGGACAGAGGACAAGTTCTACGGTTAGTCTAACTATATAGCAAGCTCCAGGCCGGCCTAGGCAACTTGAGACACTGTCTTAAAAACCAACCCAATCAAATCGATTAGACAATAAGCAGAGAAAAATACTTTTAACTTTTATCCAAGTGCTAAGTTCCCTAAAACAGCTCATAAATTCCTTAGTAAAGACTAATAATGCAAGCTGGGCATGGTGACCTCACCTATGATCACAACACAGGAGGCTAGCCTTGTCTACACTGAGAGTTCTAAGGCAGCCAGGGCTACATAATTAAAGCTGTGCACCAGCACACCCATCCCCGAGGTGTGTTTTTCACAAATTTTTTTTTTTTTTGAGACAGGGTTTCTTTGTGTAGCTCTGGCATCCTGGAACTCACTCTGTAGACCAGGCTGGCCTCGAACTCAGAAATCCGCCTGCCTCTGGCTCCCAAGTGCTGGGATTAAAGGCGTGTGCCACCACTGTCCGGCGAGGTGTGTTTTTCAAACAAAAGCACCAACACGAGGGGATGTGGACCCACCAGAGAGGCTGGACAAGCATACGTGGGTATGCTTTAATCCTCGGCGTGAATCCCCCAAAGGCGGCCAACCGGACCATCGATTACTAATCCGCGAAAGAGGATGACCGCTACCACAATTTTTGATCCAAATTTGAAGTAAACTTAATTAAGTATTGGCCAGGTCTGTATCCGGTTTGGCCCTCACACTATCCAATGGGGGGGGTGCATTTGCTTTGACCCAGAAGCCCCGCTGGTAGGCTGTGACTCCAGTAGTGCTTACCTACAAGCGGACTGATGATATGCTAAGACAAGGCTATCCTTCCATGGTCTGACTGGGTGGGGCAGCTCAACGGGGCTCTGATAGCCACGGAGAATGGCTGTGGACTGACACGGGGCACCCAACGGCAAGAACAATCCCAGGGACAGAGCTGGATCAAGTAGGGGGGTGTGGAGAGAGCTAGCCCACTCCCGTCCCATCGCTACTTCCTGGCCACCAGGATGTGACCTGTGTCACCCATGAGGGAACGAACCCTTTGAAACTGTGAAGCAATGTAACTCCTCCCTTTAACGTGTTCTCTTGAATGTTTTGGTCAGAAACACAGGCAGGAAACTGATTAACATGGTTGTCTTTTCTACAAATAGTTAGGATCAGGATGAAATAAAAACACAGAAATAACAGTGGTGTGTGTGTGTCTGTGTGTGTGAGTGTGTGTGTATGTGTGTGAGTGTGTGTGTGTGTGTGTGTGTCTGTCTGTGTGTGTCTGTCTGTGTGTATGTGTGTGAGTGTGTGTGTGTCTGTGTGTGTGTCTGTCTGTGTGTGTCTGTCTGTGTGTATGTGTGTCTGTGTGTGTGTGTGAGTGTGTGTCTGTGTGTGTGTGTTGGGGGCTCAGCCTTCAGCTCTCAAGTCTCTACTTCCCAGAAGTCAGCTGGGATGAGTACTGGGGTACAATCAACAGAATGGGGGTGACTCGTGACACCCTGGCGCAGGGCTGGGGTGAGGAACGGCTGCCAAGCCTGAAGACCCAGGTGGATCCCTGGAGACCCACGTGGTGTAGGGACTTTGCAAGCTGTCTTCTGATTTCCATGGGTTAGCTGTGATATGCATGTAACACACACACACACACACACACACACACACACACACACACACAAATTCAGTGGTAAGTAAGGTCTAGCCTGCTGACTGGGAGAGACAGGAAGGTGGCAGGGAGACAGGACTAAATGCAGGGAGGCTCTCAGAAAAAACCTTGAGGGGAAGAAGACGCACCTTCTGTACCGAGCCTTGTCAGTAACAGAGATGTCTGTCCATCTAAGATGTTACATGAGGAGACACTGGGTGAGATGGGCCGCTGGTGTCCCGGGCTCCATCTCCACTCCCCTACTGTCCTGTCCTTGGCACCCAGTCACTCACCCTGATCTGCACGGGGGAGGAGCTCTGTTTGCCATAATCAGCTCTTAAGGACCAATGCCTCAGCCCTCACCCCAGTCTTAAACACAGAGAGGGACAAGAGTGCAGAAATGCTAACAAGTGCTGTCCCCTCCCTACGTGTGGTCCTTACAGGCAGCCAGGTGTCACCCCCACCGGTCTGCCTAGTTCTCTCACTGGTCCTGCTGGCTGAGCCCTCACGAGACTAGCAATGTGTCTGGAGAACATCCTGCTCACTGTGGATGGTATTGGGCACAATCCCAGCAATGCCATGAACAGCAGCCTCCTGCGAGGGTCTCTGAACACAAGATACTTCACATAGCACTGCAGGTGCCTGCCTCCTGTCAGACACAACAGGAGCCTAGAGAGACATGGTGGGAGCCAGAGGAGACAGATTAGGAGGCAGAGTGGAAAGTTCCAAGGCTCCCGGCTGCTGCTACCAGATAAGAAGCCCCAAAGGTCTCCGTGCAGATGTGACCGAGGAGACAGGAAGGTCACGGTGGGGTGAAGAAAGACCCCGTCAGGTCTAGGCTCCTATGCAAGACGAAGACAACAGGACCCCTAGGGTGGCTGGGTACCGTGGGTGAGTGGGACAAGAGTGGGAAAAGAAACCTGGCTTGGGGTCCTGCAGTCTGGGTGTGGTGATGGTAAGTAGGGGAAGTGGGGGGGCCAGGGGACTTGGGGTCCCCTTGGCAGAGGTAACGAGAAGGGTACAGCAGTGTCATCCTGTTCACACAACTGACACAGTATTTCTTTGTAGGTTTCCTCCTGCCTTTTGCTCCTGGGGCCCTGAGG